TGAAGACTCTTTCAGTTTTTCAGAAAGTGAATCCAAACTATGTAAATGCTCCTAACTTTAAATGTTAGCAACTCATTTAAAGGAATCACTGTGGGGCGGTACCTGTGGCTCAGTCAGTAGAGTGTCAGCCCCATATACCGAGGGTGGCAGGTTCGAACCTGGCCCCGGCCAAACTGCAACAAAAAATAGCTGGGCGTTGTGGCGGGTGCTCTGTAGTCCCAGCTACTCTGGAGGCTGAGACAAGAGAATTGCCTGGGCCCAAGAGCTGGAGGTTGCTGTGAGCTGTGACGCCGCAGCATTCTACCAAGGGCGACAAAGTGAGAGTCTGTCTCTAAAAAAAAGAAGAAGAATCACTGTGTATGTCTGTGTGTGCGCCTGTGTGTCTCAGGCAAGGGAGGGGAGAGGTTGTTAAATGCTTGTCATTATTTATTCATTCACTGTTTTATTGAGGCCCTACCATGTCCCAGGTGTTAGAAGATACTGAGATTTACAAAACAGACATGTTCACACTCTGTGGAATTTATTATCTAGAAGAGTTTAAAGCCCAAGCCGTGGCTGGTCCCCAGAATGGAGATACCCCTTGTGTCACCTCCTAAGGCAAGAGCCCCCAGAGGGCAGCCTGGTTCTGATGAGATTAAGATCCATGATTCCCTCATCCACTAGGATGGCATAAAATAATAATAAGGGACATAGCCGGTATTGGCGAGGATGGGAAACAAACTAGAACCCTCTTTGGTTACTGATGGGAATGTAAAATGGTGGCAAACAATTTAGCGATTCTTCAAAGAGTTAAGTATAGAATTATATGACCCAGCAATTCCACTCCTAGGTATATACCCAAGGGAATTGAAAACAGGTAATTAAACCAATACATGTATGTGCATGCATGTTCATAGCAGCATTATTGACAATAGCCAAAAGGTGGAAACAACCTAAATTTCCATCTATAGATGACTGGGTAATGAAATTGCAGCCTATACATACAATGGAATATTGTTCAGCCACCAGAGGAATTAAGTACTAATACTTGATACCCTGTGGATGAACCTTGAAAACGTTGCTAAAAGCCAGATGCACAAAGTCATTTATTATATTGTCTGAATCCACTTATGTGAAATATTCAGACTAAATTAATTCACAGAGACAAAAAAAAAAAAAAAACCAGATTGGTGGTTGCCAGGGATTGGAGTAACTGCTTTATAGGCACAAGGTTTCCTTTTGGGGGGGGCGATGAAAAACTTTTAGGAACTACACAGAAGTGGTGGTTGTACATCGTGAATGTACTAAATGCTACGGAATTGTTTAATATGGTTAATTTTATAAAGTTATGAATTAATTTTATAAAGTTATGAATTTCACGTCAATTAAAAATATTTTCACTTGATTTATTTTCTTTATTTATTTTGAGATGAGTGAGATGGATCTCACTCTATCACCATAGGTAGAGTGCCATGGCGTCATAGCTTATGGCAGCCTCAAACTCTGGGGCTTAAGCAATCCTCTAGCCTAAGCATCCTGGATAGTTGGGACTACAGGTGCCCACCACACCTGGCTAGTTTTTCAATTTCTTTTTTTTTTTTTAATATTTATTTATTTTTTTATTTTTTGAGACAGAGCCTCAAGCTGTCCCCCTGGGTAGAGTGCCGTGGCATTACAGCT